TATTCATGGCTTCGAAGACTCAATAATGTTAAGATGTCAGTTCTCTCCAAACTGAGCCACAGAGTCAACATAATCCCGGTCAAAATTCACTTTTGTAGAAATTGAAACACTGATTCTAAAATTCAAATGGATATACACAGTGCTCAGATAGCCAAAACAATTGAAAGAGAAGAACAAGGTTGGAGGGCTAACACGGCATGATTTCAAATTTATTATATACTAATCAAAACAGTGTGGGAATAGTATAAAGATAAATGAATAGATCACAGGAATGGAGTAAAGACTCCAGAAAGAGATCCACACACACATGGCAACTGATTTTCAATAAACGTGCAAAGGCAAATCAGTTGACAAAGGATCATGTTTTTTTCTAATGTTTATTATTTTTTTTTTTGAGAGAGAGCACAAGTGAGAGGGGGCAGAGAGAAGGGGACAGAGGATCTGAAGCAGGCTCTATTCTGACAGCAAGGAGCCTGACATAAGCCTTGAACTCATGAACTGAGAGACCATGACTTGAGCCAAAGTTGGACATTCAACTGACTAAGCCAACCAGGTGCCCCAAGAAAGGATCGTTTATTTTAATCTTTTTTAAAAATGTTTTTGAGAGAGACAGAGAGAGAGAGAGAGAGAGAGAGAGAGAGAGAGAATGAATCTGAATCAGGCTCTGTACTGAGAGCAGAGAGCCTGATGCAAGGCTCAAATACACAAACTGTGAGATCATGACTTGAGCCAAAGTGGGACGCTTAACCAACTGAGCCACCCAGGAGCCCCAGCATCATTTTTTAAAAAATAAATGATGCTGGAATAATTGGATGACCATGTGTAAAAAAGTGAACTTTGATCCATACTTGAATCACATAAAAAATTAATAGAAAAGAGATCACAGAACCAAATATAAAATCTAAATTTTCTGTGACCTTGGATTAGGTAAAGATTTCATAGATACAACCCCCAAACACACTCTGTAAAAGAAGAAAATAGATAAATTAGGCTCTGTCAAAATTTACAATGTCTCATGAGAGGTGCCCGGGCAGCTCAGTCGGTTAAGCATCCGACTTCAGCTCAGGTCATGATCTCACAGTTCGTGAGTTTGAGCCTGGTGTTGTGCTCTGTGCTGACAGCTTGAAGCCTGGAGCCTTCAGCCTGCTTCAGATTCTGTGTCTTTCTCTTCTCTCTGTCCCTTCCCCACTTCATGCTCTCTCTCTCTCTCTCATTCTCTCTCTCTCTCAAAAATAAACATTAAAAAAAAATTTAATGAAAACTTAAAAAAAATAAATAAAATGTCTCATGAAAGACACTGATAAGAAAATAAAAAGAAAAATTTGCAAAACACATATCTTATAACTTGTGTTCAGAATATACAAAGAACTTTCAAAACTCAATAAGAACACAAAGTTCCCTATAGAAAACTGGACAAAATATTTGTACAAATACTCCATCAGGGAAGATATATGGATGTTAACTATTAGACATTACAAACATGCTAATTAAAACCATAGTAAGATACTACCACCCACCTACTAAAATGGCTAAAAACATTTTAAATGGACAATTCCAAATGCTGGTAAAGATGGAGATCAACTGGAATTCTCATACATAGCTGGCTAGGATTAAAATTTTACAGCTGCTTTAAAACTCAGTTTGGCAGTTTCTAATAAAATTAAACATACACTTACTATACAACCCAGGAATCCCACTCCTAGGTATTTACCCTAGAGAACTGAAATCTTCTCATCACACAAAATCAGTAAATAGACTTCATAGCACTTTTATTTAGAATCACCCAAACTGGAAACCATCCAAATAGCCCTCAAGTAGTGGATCCACAAACCGTGGTACATTTATACAGTGGAATACCACTCAGCAATAAAAAAATAACAAACAATGGAAACATATAAGAGGATGAATGAGTTTTTAATGCATTATACTAAGTGAAAGAAGCCAGGCTCAAAAAGCTTCGTGCTATATGATTCCATATATATGACATTCTGGAAAAGGCAAACCTTATAAGGACAGAAAAAAGATGAGTATTTTTCAGGGCCAGAAGTAGTGGGAAGGAGTGACAACAAAGGGGTGTGGTGTAATTTTTTGCTCTGTATTCTTGACAGTGGTGGTGGTGGTTATAGGACTGTATGCATTTATCAAAACACATAGAATTATTTACATTGATAAATTATTAATATCAATTACTGATAGCAATATCAATAAACCATAAAACTGTTTAAAACGGAGATGAGTAGAGGTTATAGAAAATATACAGATACAAGTTTGAATTGGAAATATGTGGCCATATTGTTTATCTCTTTGAAAGAAGAGTTTAATTATGACATACTAAGTAATGGGGAGTAATTGTTGGGTTTATTTCATAAAGCTGACAACATAAATGGAATGTTTTAGGTAATGACATCTGTCATTAGCACTTAAAGTGAACTAATAAAAAGAATGGAATCAGCAAATTCAATCAGGAATAGAATCATCGTAATCCAAGCATAAGAAAATAAGAAGCTGATTTTAGGTGGTATTACTGGGAATTGAGAAGGTGAGCTGAGATCCAAAAATGATATTTGCAAAAATGGAAAGGCACTAGGAACTGCAGGTAATTAATTAAAAAAAAAAAAGACTAAAAGATTTAAGAAGCACTGACAGACTGTGACAGAATTTCAAGGTGAGAAGGTAATGCGTGAGATGATGATTCAAATTTCTTATGTACTGAGGATCAAGAGAAACCTCTCAAGGAAACTTTCTAGGAAGCTAAATCTAGTACTAAAGTACCAGTGAAGGGGCACCTGGGTGGGACAGTCGGTTGAGTCTCAGACTCTTGATTTTGGCTCAAGTCATGATCCCAGGGTCGTGGGATCGAGTCCTGTGTCACGCTCCCTGCTGAGCATGGAGCCTGCTTGGGATTCTCTTTTTCTCTCTGCCCCTCTCCCTTGCTCGTACGCCTGCCTCTCTAAAATAAAATTTAAAAATTAAAAAATAAATTTAAAAAATAACGTACCAGGGGCACCTGGGTGGCTCAGTCCGTTCAGCATTGGACTCTAGGTTTCGGCTCAAGTCATTATCTTGCGGTTCGTGGGTTTCAGCCCTGCATCATCAGTACAGAGCCTGCCTTGGATTCTCTTTCTATCCCTCTCTCTCTGCCCCTCCCCTGCTCTCTATCTTTCTCCTCCCCCCTCAAAATAAATAACCATAAAAATAAGTAAATAGGGGTATCCATATGGCTCAGTTAAGCATTGGACTTAGGCTCAGGTCATGATCTCACAGTTCGTGAGTTCGAGCCCCGCATCGGGCTCTGTGCTGACAGCTCAGAGCCTAGAGCCTGCTTCTGATTCTGTTTCTCCCTCTCTCTCTGCCCCTCCCCTGCTCACACTCTGTCTCTCTCTCTGTCTCTCAAAAATAAACATGAAAAAAATTTAAAAAAATAAGCAAGTAAATAAATAAAGTGCCAGAGAAAACCGGACTGGGGATGTCAAAAGCAGAGTCATCAGAATTCAGTATGGATGAATCCTTGCATGTATATGAAGGAAAGACTGGTGAACAGTAGGCAGGGTCCCTAGGGCAACCTCACGGATGGGGATAAGGAAGAGGAGAAGACTGGGAAAAAGGGCAGGTAATAAATTGGATGTAAACCAGTAAGAAACCGAGGAAACCATAAGAGACTCTTAAATACAGAGAACAAACTGAGGGTTTGCTGGAGGGGAGGTGGGTGAGGGGCGGATAGGCTAGATGGGTGATGGGTACTAAGGAGGGCACTTGTTATGATGAGCACTGGGTGTTGTATGGAAGTGATGAATCACTGAATTCTCCTCCTGAAACCAATGCTACACTATATGTTAACTAACTTGGATTAAAATAAATTTAAAAAAAAAAGAAAAAAGAAGAAAAAAGAAGGTAACAATAAAAATTTGAACATATAGAATTGAAGAGAAAAAAAAAGAAACAGGAAACTCAAGCAAAACACGGGGAACATGAACAAGGTCACTCATAGAAGGGGAAACTCAAACAGACCACAACAGATCAGTCATGAAAGGCTGAAACTAGGTATTGGAGAGATGTGCAATAAAAAAATGAGATACCACTTTATACCCATTGTTGGCCAAAAGATGAGAAAGCTTGGTTCTACTAATCGTTGGCAGAAACTATTGCTAGTATAGACTCGTTCAGTCAACCTGAGAACAATATGGTGGCACTCAGTCAAATTCAGGATGGAAATATACAATGATCAGGCAAATCCCTTCTTCTGTAAACATCCCCTGAGACATTCTCACCCTCCATAAGGGAACACTGCTGTAGAAAGTTCTCGCAGAGCTGTTTGTATTAGCTGGGAGCTTCATTTAGCAACAACCCTAGGTTCCGCCACAGGGTGAATGTTTAAGATGTGCTGCTGGCACAGGGGGGATGCTTTGCAGCAGTCTGAAGGAGGGAAGCCAGCGGAATACACTGCAGTATGGACAGACCTCATGGATGAGTGAGAAAGAGGAACAGAATTAAGACACGTGGTGCAACACAATTTACATACACTAAGAATACCTACTCACACACCAACCCTCCAGGCTTTAAAAGACCACCGCACAAATTCAAAGACCAGACGCAGTAGGTCAGTTGCCCCTGGGAGGACATGTAGGGAAGGAGCATGTGGAATTGGCATAAAAGGGAAGACATTTTAGAATACCTGAACGTACAAGGAAAGAATCTAAGATAAAGGGGGTGGGAGTGGAGTAGAAAGAATAAAAAGGCCTTAGATAAGATAAGGTGGCACGTGTGTGATACAGGGTGCAGAGACTAGAGACAGCTCTCCTGTCAAAAAGCCAAACAACCAAGACAATGGCTTTTTGCAAGGGTTGTACTTAGAGACGTTGTTTAGGTATCAAAGACGCTTCTGTCAACCATCTCCAATAAACGACCAACGTTTAGAACTTTCAAGGCTGGTTATCTTCACAGCTTCTTCTAGAAAGAGTCGATTGGTTTTTGTGTCCCCCGTCTGCTCTGGTCACACTCACCTGAACAGCTCTGATGTGGGGTTTCTCCCTCCAATGTCCATGGCCCCTCTCCTTGCTCCAATTTGAAGATGACCTCTGGTTTGGGAACCTGGTACCCTGTTGACAGGATATGATACAGGATTGGGTCCAGCTAATTGGGTTTCAGGGGACTTTCAGTGACATTTCCATTTGCCCTTCAGAAAAGTAATCACGCATTGCACCGGGAACAGGGTAATAATAATAGTCATGGAAAGGGAATGAAGAATCTTGGACCAATCAAGGATGACACCCTCACACACTTAAGATGTTCCAGAACACTCAGCAGCTGAGAATGGAAATAGCACACTGACGCCCCTGGCAGACACACAGGGCAGCTGTGCTTACCCACTGAGCGCAGGTGGCTGTAGTTCTCCAGTGTCACATCCCGGTACAGGCGTCTCTGAGCAGGGTCCAAATGCTGCCACTCTTCCCTGCTGAAGTTCACGGTCACATCCTCGAATGACACAGAGACCTGTAACAACACAATCCTGTTCAAGGCGATATGGTCAGCACTGGGGGGTTGGATAGAAGGCAAATAGGAAGTTGTTTTCAATGACGTATCTGTATATGACATAATGACATAATGTATCACACAGGGTTTGCACTCAGTGGTTTTGTATTTTAGGAGAGGAAAAAAAAACTTGTTGACGTATCTTAGCATTCATTGCGTATGTAGTACATTTATTCATTGATTTATGCAGTCATTCTTTTTTCAAAAATGAGGATTAAATTAGGCTTTGTTTAAATCCGCTAGTTAATGTGGGCACTATATACATTTACTACTTGATTATGTGCCAGCCATGGCAACATAGAATTGAATGAACTAGAATTGACTAAAAAGAAACGTAGGGGAAAAGGCAAAACAATAAAGCCTTTAAAATTAATGCAGAAAATTCCTTCCCAGGTTTTGGCACCAAAAACAAACAAACAAACAAACAAACATGCAGAAAAAAGACATGATCTCAGATTAGGAAAATAATTCTCAAAACAAGATGCAAAAAACATTAACCATAAAGAAAGATTGATGTCTGGCTACAACACGTTTTAAAACTTCTATTTATTTAAAAGACAGCATTATAAGAGAACAAAAGGAAAGCCACGGAAAAGGAGAAGATATCTGCAACACACAGTACTGTCAAAGGGTTCATATCTAGAGGATGTAAAGAACTCTTACAAACCAATAAGAAGAAAAGAGAGCGCCAAGCAGAAAAGTGGGCAAAGCATTTGAACAGGCATTTTACAAAAGGGGAAATCCAAGGTTTCAATAAACATGAAAAGGGCTTAACCTTGGTAACCAGGGAATGCAAATTTAAACCACAGTGAGACACCACTATATGGCTTCTAGAATGTCCTCAATAAAAAAGACTGATAGTACGGAGTGTTGAGGAGAATATGGTGCAATGAGAACTCTCATATTGTTGATGGTGTAAATTGGCACAACCACGTTAGAAGGCATTTTTTCTTTATTGGGTAATGTTGAAACATGCATACACTAGGACACAGTGATTCCATTCATGGAAATATGCCCAATCTGAATATGCATACATGTGTAATTAGAGGCATGGTCAAGAATATTTATGGCAGCATTATTCAAATGTGTGTAATATTTCATGATAAAAAGTTAAAAATTACTAATTAAAAAAATCAGTGTTCAACATAATAGTAACAATATCTACTCTGTGAAAAATATTAAGAATAGTTTCTTAGTTGCTTTCATTTGCATAATCTCTAAGCATATACCCCACCCACTCACAAACTAACCAAGACCAGTTTTCTGCTAGAGAGATCTGGGGAGTTGAAGGAGAGAACCATGTGAATGTATCACCTATTCAAAAATTAAGTTAGGGGTGCTTAGGTGGCTTAGTCGGTTAAGGGTCCGACTTTGGCTCAGGTCATGAACTTGCAGTTTGTGCATTTGAGCCCTGCATCAGACTCTGTGCTGACAGCTCAGAGCCTAGAGCCTGCTTCCAATTCTGTGTTTCCCTCTCTGTCTGCCTCTCCCTGCTCGTGCTCTCTCACTCTCTCTCGCTCTCTCTCGCTGTCTCTCGCTTTCTCTCAGAAATAAACAAACATTTAAAAACTTAAAAAAAATAAGTTAAAAATTACCAATGGGACCAAAATGGAATAGACATAATTCTTCCTAGGTCTCCTGCTAAGTATAGCTAAAACCCCTGGATATTATATATAAAACAAAGATAAGAATACTCTGGCCGTTGGAGAGAGGGAGGCAAACCTGTCATGATCCTCAGGTGCTAGAGAAACCGGCAACTTAGAATGCCAACTGGCACAGGCAGGAACAGCCAGAGAAATCTGCTTTCATTAGTTCAAGTACCAGGAAAAAGGCAACGTAGCAAGAGAGAAAAACCTAGATCATATTGCCCTGTTCCAGCCAGGCATCACAGAAATAACTGTGCCCCCTACTTCCATTCTTATCAGTAAAGGCTGAATGGGGAGGCTAGATTTTCATTCCAGCCTGTGGGTAATGAGACCCTTCCCCCACAGTGTCAATCTAGGCTAGGTGGCGATCTTGGACTCCACCCCTGACTCAAAAAACGAGGTGTCAGTCTTGTCTTCCCACCAGGGTGGTGTCAGAGGTGGTCTGGTGGAAAGCCTGAAATTCTACCCACCCCCTCCCAGTAGCAACAAGGTGCTTGGCCCCTTCTGGGGTGTCAAAAGAGGCCAAGTGGGGAACTTCAATTTCCACTTCCACGTGGCAGTAAGGAGGATTTTTCTGAATCCTCTTCCGAATTCTCTTCAGAAAAAGATTCTCCTTTTCTAGCAGAACAGTGTCAGAGGAGGCCTATTAAACACAAGATTTAAATAATATCAAAGTCTCATAGTTCCCCAAAATATCCAGGACATAATTGAAAATCAGGCATCATGTGAAGAAGCAGAAAAATCTCAACTGGAACGAGAAAAGATAATCAACAGACACCAACACTGAGATGAGACAGAAGTTAGAATTATCTGACAAGAATTTTAAAGCAGCTATCATAAAAATGTTTCAATACACTTACATTTGAAAATAGAAAGTCTCAGCAGAGAAAGAAAAGATATAAAGACAAACTGAATGGAAATTTCAGAACTGAAAAATACAATGACTAAAAATTTAAAACTCAACTGTGGGCTCAGCAGCAGAATAGACAGTACAGAGGAAAGGCTCAGAGAACTTGACCATGGAACAATGGAAATGATCCAATATGAACAGAAAGAAAATTGGCTGGAAAAAAATGAGCAGAGCCTCAGGGACCTGTGAGACTATAATCGGAGATCTGGCATTGGTGTCATCAGAGTCCCAGGAGGAGGGGAGAAAGAGTGTGGGGCTGAAAGAGTATTTGAAGAAATTGACCGGAATTTTCTCAAATTTGGCAAAAGTATCAACTTAGAGATTCTTTTTTTTTTTTTTTAAATTTTTTTTTCAACATTTATTTATTTTTGGGACAGAGAGAGACAGAGCATGAACGGGGGAGGGGCAGAGAGAGAGGGAGACACAGAATCGGAAACAGGCTCCAGGCTCTGAGCCATCAGCCCAGAGCCTGACGCGGGGCTCGAACTCACAAACCGCGAGATCGTGACCTGGCTGAAGTCGGACGCTTAACCGACTGCGCCACCCAGGCGCCCCTCAACTTAGAGATTCGAGAAGCTGAGCGAACCCCAAAAGGGTAAGCCAAAGAAATCTACACCAAGACACATTATAATCAAACTCCGGAAAGCTAAAGACAAAGAAAAAAATCTTGCAATCAGCAAGAGAGAAACCACAACTTACCTATTGGGGAAAAACAATTAAAGTGACAGTGGATTTCTCATCAGAAACCATGGGGGAGAGAAGGAAGTGGCCCAACAGTTTTCAAGGGCCTGGGAGGGGAGAAGAGAACTGTCAACTCTGAATTCCGTATCTGGCTCTGGCAAAACTATCCTTAAGAAATGAAGTGGCAATGGCCAATACATACATGAAAAGGTGCTTGGCATCATTAATTATGCGGGAAATATGAATCCAAACTACCATGAGACACTACCTCACACCCACGAGAATGGCTAGCATCAGAAAGTCAGATAGCAACAAGTGCTGGTGAGGATGTGGAGAAATTGGAGCCTTTATATATTGCTGGGGGAGTGTAAAATGGTACAGCTGCTTTGGGGAAACAGTCTGACAGTTCCCCAAATGATCAAACATAGTTGCCACTTGACCCAGCAATCCCATTCCTCAGTATATGTATCCTCAAGATAAATGAAAATATATGTCCACATAAAAATGTGTACACATATGTTTATAGTGGCATTACCCATCATAGCGAAAAGGTGGAAACAACCAACATGTACATCAGATGACGAACGGCTAAACAAAATGTTGACCCATCAACATTTCCAATAAAATGGAATATTATTCGGCCATAAAAAGGGACGATGTACTGATACATGCTACAACATGTACACGCACAACATGCTACATTCTTCCCCGTCTGCCTATGTACAAATCTACCCACCTATCTTATGGAATGGTGACTTCTTACTTTATTCATCAGGTTATAATCGATGATTATCATTATTTATTTTGCTACTCGAATTGTCCCAAATTTGGCCAGAGGGAGCTCCTTGAAACATTACGTTGAGTGAAAGAAGCCAGACACAAAGACCACAGATTATATGATCCCATTCATGTGAACTGTCCAGAATAGTGAAGTCTAGAGGACAGAAAGTGTATTTGTGGTTGCTTAAGGTTAAGGGAGGCAGGGAACACGGGTGGGGTGGGGAGGAGTGATGGCTAAAGGAAACGGGGCCTCTTTTTGAGGTGATGGAAATGTTGTCAAATTGATTGTGGTGGTGGTTGCTCCTACCCATAAATATAAACAACAGTAAGTTGTACACTTTAAATGGGTAAATTGTATGGTATGGAAGTCATTATTTCAGTAAAACTGTTACTAAGAAGAAATGAAAAGGAAATCAAGATATTCTCAGATGAAGGAAAACTTAGAAAATTTGTTGCCAGCAGACCTACCCTGAAGGAATGGCTAAAGAAAGTTCTCAAAACAGAAAGGAGATAATAAGAGAAGGAATTGGAACATCAGGAAAGAAGAAAAAATGGAAAAAGCAAAAATATGAGTAAAGACAGTAGGCATTGCTTCTCCTCTCGAGATTGCTTTCTTTTTTTAATTTTTATTTATTTATTTTGAGAGAGAGAGTGTGTGTGAGCAGGGGAGGGGCAGAGAGAGAGAGAGAGAGAGAGAGAGAGAGAGAGCAAGAGAGAGAATCCTAAGCAGGCTCCATGCTGTCAGCACAGAGCCTGACATGTGGCTCGATCCCACGAACCATGAGATCATGACCTGAGCCAAAATCAAGAGCCGGACATGTAACTGAGCCACCCAGTACCCCACCTCTTGAGTTTTTTCCTAAACTATGTTTGAGGGCCAAAGCAAAAAGTCTAACATTGTCTATTGTGGATCTCCATGTATGTAAGGGAAATAGTTAAGACAACTGTATTATAATATAAACTGGTGAGGGTAAAGGGATTTTTTTTT